CTTGAGCCCAAGAGTCTGAGGCTCCTGTGAGCTATGACATTATAGCACTCAAACAGGGGCAACAAAGCGACTCAGTCTCGGAAAAAAGAGAGAGAGAGAATAAGGAGGAAAAATAGAGCCAAGGACGTTTACTTTATTCAGATTGTTGGTGGCCTTACCTAACTTCAGTGGTGAGGCAAGTAGACTGTGAGGTGTTCCAGCTTAGAAAAATAAAGGTGGGGGCGGCACCTGTGGCTCAAAGGGGTAGAGCCCTGGCCCTATATATGCCGGAGGTGGCGGGTTTAAACCCAGCCCCAGCCAAAAACTGCAAAAATAAAAATAAATAAAGGTGGGTTGGGAGAGGTGGCTCACACCTGTAATCCTAGCACTTTGGGAGGCTGAGGCAGGTGGACTGCTTGAGCTAGGGAGTTTGAGGCCTGAGTGAGACGATCTCTACTAAAAATAGAAAAATCAGCTCATTATTGTGATTATTGTGGTGGGCGCCTGTAGTCCCAGCCACTCAGGAGGCTGAGGCAAGAGAATCTCTTGGGCGGCGCCTGTGGCTCAAGGAGTAGGCCACTGGCCTGGAGGTGGCAGGTGCAAACCTGGCCCCAGCCAAAAACAGCAAAAAAAAAAAAAAAAAAGAGAGAGAATCTCTTGAGCCCAAGAGACTGAGGTTGTTATTGAGCTATCATGCCATGGCCCTCTTCCCTGACACCATGAGAGTGAGACTCTGTCTCAAAAAAAAAAAAGGAAAAATAAAAAGAAAGGTGGCTTAATATAAAAGGCTCATCTTGCAAAAGAGAATTTAGGGAAGAGCTGAGCACGTTTGCTGATGGAAAGAGTAAATATGAAAAGGTTCAAAAGAGGGTAGATATAAAATGCCCAGAGCAAATTTACAGAAAGTGGTTAAAAATAAAAGCATACAAAGTGGAGAGCTGAGCCTTGGAAAGGAAGGGGACTATTTTCCTCTGGGAAAGAGGCGCACTTCTCTGAGAGATGAGAGGGAAGTTGAGGGATCCTGAGAGGGGATGGGAAAGAAAAGTGCTCAGAGACTTTAGGAGCTCAGACATTTGGAGGAGAGGAAGAAAGTTAGCAAGATAAATACGTCTTCTAGCAGCAATGTGGGCTCAGCTAGATTCAGAAACATAAAATTGCAAAGATCCAATGAGCACATTTGATGACTTTCTGTAAACCATCTGAGAAGCCTGGGAGGCAATGAGGAGAAAGTAAATTGTGGGAAAAGAAATCAAAAAAGTGACTCGCCTAAATTACTCAGGTTGGCAGGGCTGAGACTGGTAGCCAGCCAGCTCCGGCTTCTGGTTGAACACCCGCATTTGACTAAGCTGCCTCCTTTCTGTAACAGAATTTTTCTAAAGACAGTTAAACTTCAAAGCTAATGGCCAGTTTTAAAGCCATGTTATTAAAACAATGCAAGGTGACTGACACTTTTCTATGAAGACTGAGATAATAAAATCAGAATTTCTTACATGGAAACCATCAGCAACTGTGTAAAGTCTGAAAGATTAACCGACAAACAAAACTCAGAATGCTACTTACCTGGCAGCTTCGGGAAAACCCATCCTGTAGATCGTTACGACCACAGCTCCCCCAATGCCTAGGTTGTGCTGCAGAGCCACCTTTGCCCCAGGAACTTGCCTCTTTCCGGCTTCCCCTCGGAGCTGCCAGCAGAGTTCAGCACACTGGGCCAGACCTGACAAATCGAACACCGAGAATCAGAGCAGGCCGGTTTGGCAAGCAGCCTGCACAGGCTTCCTCACGCCAGGAAAGGGTTTCTGTTTCATTGTGACTTTTAATCAAAGCGTTGGATTAAGCTGAGACCATGTTTCTCTAAATAATAATGTCCCTTAGAACAATGAAGGGTTTTGCAGCTAGTCACTCTCCCTCCTCAGTAATCTCTGTAGTAAGATGACATCCAGGCTTAAGAAATTCCCTGCACTCTTTATTTAATTCAGCCTGTTGTTCTCTGGCATTTTTAAAGAAAAAAAACACTAAATACACAATTCTCTGGCCCAGGAAAAATGGCATCAAAATGGTATCACTTTTAGGAATTTTTTGAGTGCCAAGCGTCACAGCTCACAACCACCTCCCAATCTTGGGCTCAAGCGATCCTCTTGCCTCAGTTTTTCTATTTTTAGTAGAGACGGGGTGGGGGGGGTGTCTCACTTTCCCCCAGGCTGGTCTCGAACTCCTGAGCTCAAGCAATCCACCCACCTTGGCCTCCCAGAGCACTAGGATTACAGGCATGAGCCACCACGCCCCGCCTAGTGATATCATTTTTAATGTATTAAAAGTAAATAAACAAGGATTTGGAAGTTCACTTTACCTAAAAACTTTAGCTGGTATATGGAATTTTTCATATTATTTACCCAAAGTAATTCCCAACAAGAAAGATTTGTTTTCTTCTTGACAAGAAAAGCTCTGGATTCACAAGAGTAACATTCTGTCCCCCTCTAAAATCAAAGATTTTTAGAGTTAAAGGAACCTAATGATATAAGCACTAAGCAACAGGTTAAATAATATATGTCTCACCAGGAGGAGTGGCTCACGTCCGTAATCCTAGCACTCTGGGAGGCTAAGGCGGGTAGATCACTTGAGTTTAGGAGCTTGAGACCATCCTGAGCAAGAGTAAGAACTCATCTCTACTAAAATAGAAAAAATTAGCTGGACATTGTGGCAGGCACCTGTAGTCCTGGCTACTTGGGAAGCTAAGGCAAATGGATCTCTTAAGCTCCAGAGCTTTGAGGCTGCTGTGAACTATGATGAGACACCACAGCACTCCACTCGGGGTGACAGAGTGAGACTCTGTCTCAAAAAAAAAGAACGTATGTCTCAAACACTTTTAAAAATGGGTAGCTCCACACTCTGTAATAATTTTTTTGAATGGTGAACATTGAGAGGTTCTGACATAGAAGCCAGGTGAGGGGCTTGGCTCCAACAGCACCAGCCCCATACACTGAAGGCGGCAGATTCAAGCCCTGCTCGAGCCAGTTAAAAAACAATGACAACTAAACACAAAGTAGCCGGTCTCTTTGGTGGTCGCCTGTAGTCCCAGCTACTTGGCAAGAGAACCGCTTAAGTCCAAGAGTTTGCTGTTGCTGTGAGCTATGACGCCAAGGCACTCTACCCAAGGTGACAGAGTGAGACTCTGTCTCAAAAACAAACAAAAAACCCTACATGTCCTTCAAGCACCTCTTGCTTTAATAAGGTTTATCACTAGACATTCTTTAGGACCATAGTAATTCAGATCAGATGTTCTCAGAGAATACTTGCTCAATAATGGTGTCACTACCAATGAACTGACAACTCTGATTTCAAACTTCTAGGACCAAAGAATTCAGTGCCTAAGCAGTTTATGTAAATAAACTCCCCTCCCCAACTAAAAGCACTGGTGGTTTACTATTTTATGTGTTATGGATTATAATTCTTATTTCTATTCTTGAGTAAACCCAACATATTTAGAGATAACTTACTCTAGTGTCTTTTTCCTTAAGGTTGAGATAGACATATTACAGTCCAGTAATGCTACCATAGGCATAAGCAAGGTGTTCTAAGAGCACAAAGGAGGAATATTTAACATAGCTTGGAAAGTCAAGGGGTAACTCCCAAATGAATGGAGATGAACTGAGACCCTGTGAATAAAGAATAGGGAAAACAGGAGAAAATAATGCTCTAAAAAAGGGAGATGAGGCTCAGCACCTGTGGCTCAGCGGCTAGGGCGCCAGCTACACACACCAGAGCCGGCAGGTTCAAGCCTGGCCTGGGCCCGCCGAACAAAAATGACAACTGCAACAAAAAAGTAGCCAGGCATTGTGGTGGGCGCCTGCAGTCCCAGCTACTCAGGAGGCTGAGGCAAGAAAATCGCCTAAGCCCAAGAGCTGGAGGTTGCTGTGAGCTATGACACCACAGCACTCTACTGAGGGCAATAAAGTGAGACTAGGTCTCTACCAAAAAAAAAAAAAAAAAGGTGATGAGCACATGCAAAGAAGAAACACGGGCTGCTTAAGGAATAGGAGTTACACTACAGGAAAGAAGAAGGCACCTCCAACAGCAATCTGGAGGAAGGAGAAAGAGAGGGGGAGGGGAGGAAGAGAAAGGGGCTAAAATGGCAGGTCTATAATTTACAATTAATTTCAATCACATTATACCATTCCTATAATAAGGGATGTGGTATACCAAATAAATCTTTACTCATCATTTGCTCAATACACGTGTGGGATAAAAAAAAAAAAGAGAGAGAGAGAGGGAAGAAATAAAGATCCATGTTGTCAACTCTTTGTTTTTCTGAGATAGGGTCTCACTCTGTTGCCCCAGCTAGGCTGCACTAGCATTGTAATAGCTCAATACAACCTCCAACTTCTGGGATTAAGCCATCCTCCTGCTTCAGCCATTTTTCTTTTCTTTTCTTTTTTTTTTTTTTTTTTTGCAGTTTTTGGCCGGGCCGGGTTTGAACCCACCACCTCTGCTATATGGGGCCAGTGCTCTACTCCTTTGAGCCACAAGCACTGCCCTGCTTCAGCCTTCTTAGTAGCTAGAATGACAGGCACATGCTTGGCTAATTTTTTATTTATTTTATTTATTTTATTTTTTGGAGACAGAGTTTCACTTTGTTGCCCTCGGTAGAGTGCTATGGCATCACAGCTCATAGCAACCTCCAGCTCTTGGGCTTAGGCGATTCTCTAGCCTAAGAGACCTTCCGAGTGGTGCCTGCCATAACACCCAGCTATTTTTTTTTGCAGTTTGGCCAAGGCTGGGTTCGAACCCACCACCCTCAGTATATGGGGCCGTCACTCTACCCACTGATCCACAGGTGCCACTCCATTTTTTAAATTCTTGTAGAGATGGAGTATCACTATCTGAGGCTTTCACCTTGTTTTCTTATTACTTACTTAGGACAGAAGTATAGCACCAGTGGGATAATAAACATGATTATTTGAGCTTTCTGGTTGTCTACTTTCAGAATAAACAGAATTATCCCCTATTTATAGAATACAGACCTGTGAAGGGTAGAAGTCAAAAGCTGGCCTCAGATATCTACTTGCCAAAAATGTATGCCAGACAGTTAGGAAAGCATTCACTATGTGAGAAAACTTTTGTTTTCTTTTTTTAATTTTCCCTCCTTGGATGACTCCTGGCATTGAATTGAAAACCATCTTTCCCTCTGTTTGGTAAAAAATCAACTGTCAGGGTGGTGCCTGTAGCTCAGTGGGTAGGGCGCTGGCCCCATATACCGAGGGTGGCGGGTTCAAACCCATCCCCGGCCAAACTGCAACAAAAAATAAGCAGACATTGTGGTGGGCACCTGTAGTCCCAGCTGCTCGGGCAGCTGAGGCAAGAGAATCACCTAAGCCCAAGAGCTAGAGGTTGCTGTGAGCTTTGATGCCATAGCACTCTACTGAGGGCAAAAGAATGAGACTCTGTCTCAAAAAAAAAATAAAAATAAAACTATCAAACATGAACATGATATGAGCATCCTATCAAAGCAGTACATTCAATTAGTAACACTCTTCTTATTGTCACTTAGGAAGGGAAAAGAAATGTTTAACTTTATCACCATCTTGCTGCAAACATTTCCGAACAAGATGTCAGTTAATCTTTTTACATAGAAATTATTAGCCTAGGGGGTGGCACCTTGTGGCTCAAAGGAGTAAGGCACCAGCCCCATATGCCAGAGGTGGCGGGTTCAAACCCAGCCCCGGCCATAAAACTGCAAAAAAAAAAAAAGAGAGAGA